GAAAGAATGTGTAATAGAGATAGATGGCACACATGAGGATTAAGGTTCCGTATTAAATACGCCATAGATATCCCCTGTTGTTCTGTGATAAACAATCATTTTTTAAACTCACTCTCATCACTGTATCATGTTTTCTGTCCAAGTCCACTCACTCTGAGGATGTTCTATCACGAATTTTCCACTCCTGGGTTTTGTTCCTTTTAGAGGATTTTGAGCTCAAAGTGCTACGTTTGGAGCTTGCACTCTAAAGCAGCTCCCCTGAGCACTGTTTTGTGGTAAAAAGGATTTCTCTCAGAGGATGGTAGCTCTTGCATCGTTCCCTGCCTTGTCCCTTTTGCCTGTCCTCCCACCACCTGTGTAGGGTTGGAGAAAGACAGCTGAGAAATGCAAACCCAGAATTCTTGCTGCTGAGGAAGAAGCCATCAATGCTGGAACATGTGGCCGCAAAAAACTCTTTCTACACTTCTGACTTGCACTCTCTGTACTATGCTCCGGGTGGCTGCTCCAACCCCCCTCTCCTTGTAGACAAAGTCCCTCTCTTCTCTCAGGTTGTTAGTCCACTTAGCTTCCTTCCTAAATAAACCACTCAAAAAAAATAACCTGCTGGGGTTAAGGAGCATTTTGATCATGTGAGCTAGCTAGAAGAAGGAATATGGTGACCTTGATACATACGAAGCTGTTAAGTGCTTTTCACAGAGAAAGCATGAACTACAGATCTTGCCAAAACCCAATCTAAGAAAAATTCCGCCCTTTACCCAGGAGACATTTGAGTTTTAATTATCTCTTTCAGAGTCCCTAGACTTCCTTTCTCTTGTATCTATTTTTGTCTGCTTATTCTAATCAGCAAAGAGACGGTGAAAACAGAATTCATCCATCGCTTCTGTCAGCTTCCCGGTATCCTTCCCCACGTGAGCTGTTGTTTGGTTAGTGCCCACTTCAGGCAGAAAAAATGGTTTCTCAAAGATTAGTCATCCTCATTAGCATTCCCACTGTACTGCTAAGGCAAAGTATTTAATATTAATGACCGCTGATATTCCCACACTGTTTGTCCTGCATCCACAGTGCTTGGTCTCAGCATGGGGAGGAAAAGCAAAAGCAAATGAATGGTACGGTCTCATAACCAAAATGGTGCATAGAAAACAAAATGGATTTTCTAATATAATATTCCCTAAATCATGGAGAGTGACGAGCAAAACCTACAGTGCATGCAGCCACTGAGTGGTGGCGGTGGTTTAGTAAGCAGGAATCCGAGTAGTTTCTGGATTAATGCTCTAACATAGTGCCAGGGGACACTGTGTTGCTGGAGATATCATTATTTCTCTGAGATGTTTTGCCATTTATATCGCACGTTGCATTCAAGAAGACGATAGTGTCCCTATTCCAAAGAGAACGAAATCAAAAGGCCGGATTGCAACTTGACCCTAGGGGGGTATAAGAGGGAATAAAACATATCTGGTGCACCTTTGAGCAGAATTCACTTCAAGCACAGGGGTGGGGGAGTTGAGAGGGCATTTCCCCCAATGCCTGCTCCTCCAGCTGAGCAGAGGAGAGACGTGAGAAAGGTTCCCCTCTTCTCTTCTTACATGCCAGATTGCACATAAGGAGCACGGGACTAATAATCTGCTTATTTTTTAAAGCAGGAAAAGCAGATTGGGCATTGTGTTGATATATTGCATGCAGAGGTACAGAAGTTCTTCCACCTTCCCCTGTGCAGCTGCATGCGTATGTATTCTAGTCAGACCCCATTTAGACAGAGACAGTAATAAAAACCGATAGAATACCAATAAAAGACGAGGAAAAAAGCACAAATCCTGCCTCTTATATGGACCCATAAAACTTTTCCTAAGACACAGCATGCAAGACATGATGTTTGACTTAGATTTCTGATTAAATAAATACATTCTGCCTACCTAAAATTCATTTCTTGTTTTGATTTGATGAGTGCATCATGCTTGGTTTCAATTTAGCGCAATGAAGAATATTCTATTAAAACAGAATTTATATGTGGTAAAATTAATTTAAGAAATAACGTGGTGTACGTCTCCCTGGTTTCCAACAAGAACCCCACGGCTTTCCCCCACAGCCTAAGTCCCCTGCAGAACACTGTCATCATAATCCCTCCTGGCTTGTCCAGCCTGAAATCCTGCTACTCTTTCCCCAAGCACAATAGTTCACCCTGGCAGCTTTGTTGGCAACTCATTGTGAAACGTTGGGGAAAGATACCTGAGGATGTGGGATGCTGGCAGCTGGAGAGGAGGGGAAGTGATTTTCAGGTGAGGGGAATGGCGATTTATCCCGAAGAGTTGATATGCAGCCTGAATTTGGCCATCAGTATCTCAGCAAGGCAGATAATCATAGCATTTACAACGCTTTAAGAAATTACTACCCTAGATAATCCATTTACATGCTTCTGCCTAAATATGATCCCAAGACACGTTCTGAAGTTATCATTTCCAACCGGGCCATCTATTTTCCAACATCAACAAAAATCAAATACAGTGTGGAAGAGGAAAGAAGTGCCAGCACTGTGTTAATTATCACAGCACGCAGACAAATATCATTCCCAATCAAAACTTAGGGGTCATTTAAGTAGTTTTTTTAAGTTGCGTACAGAGATAACGTGAGCTGGGGCTCAGACTACTGGCTATGTGTAGACCAGCGATCACCAACCTTTTCTGACCCTGGACAATAACTCGCTCAGCATTAAGTGTTGTGGGCAGCATCATACTTTACTCTCCCTAATGGCCTTCAGCTTTAACTTTTTAATTTCCTGTAGGTCTCAGCAGTATGAGAAGGTCTCCCAAGCTTTTTGTTGTTCACTAACCCGTGAGCCGTGGACTGGGGACTCATGAGTGAGGGGTGGTGGATGAAGTATTATCTGACTTGGCTGCTGATTTCCCTGCTCGTTATGGGTTTTCGGGGTGGGATATGGAGCCTTGCACCCCTAATTGCATGCAGGCTTCTCTTCTTTTTTCATAGAAACAAAGTTAATACCTGTGACTCTGCTTACAGGTGCACACATACACGCACACATACACACGTAGCCTCCAGGTGTACCATCAACAAAATGATGTGCCCTTGAAACATCTGGCAATTATTTCCACTTTCTCATTTAAATCCAACCGACTTGCCAGGGTGGGCGGAGGGGGTGGAAAATAAAGAAGTTTCCAAAGTGGCTGGCGGCAGGACGGGCCGACCCAGAGCTTCCTCCGGGGCAGCTCAAGCCTGCGGCTGCCCCGCACATCCCCTCCTCTGCCGCGGAACATCAGTGGGCTTCTTCCCCTTGCTAAATATAATTAATGTTATTAATGTTAACTGCATTATCACTATCGTTATATTAATAATTGACTAGAAATACAACAGTGTTATTCATATAACGCCAGTTAATGCCTACAGAAGTGCCCTCCCGCCCACAGCTCCAGCTCTCTCCCCTCTATAAATAAAATCAGTGATGAATTAAGGCGACAGGGGTCTCCGGCGGGGAGGGGACCCCGAGGGCCCAGCTCCCCGTTACCCCCGGGGGGACCCGGCCTCTCCCCGCCCTGTCCTCGGGCAGGAC